AAAAAAAGAAAAGAAAAAAATATGGCAGCAAGTTATTCAGCTACTACTGAAAATAAGACTAGCAATTTGGCTGTCTTATTTGTTGTCTATGTGATAATTAAATGTACCTTCAGATTTTGCAGCAAAACAGTGGAAGCTGGTGCTAATATACTGGTAATGAAAACCAAAGGTGGTGTTTTTTTCTTTCTTGAGAATTTTTATTTTATTTAACTTTCATATTTAGTTATTTTTTTATTTGAGCAGAGTGGGACAGAGAGAGAGGGAGAAGGAACATGAGAACGCAAGCCGCCAGGTTTGGGACTCGAACCGTGATTGGCCATGTGGGAATCCAGCTCCCCTAATCGCCATGCCACCTGCTGGCCCCAACAAAGTAATTCTTAAAAATAAGTATACTGTTTCTCCTTCTTCAATCCTGACCCACCAAAATTATATTCTCATTCAGCAGAAAGCAGCCAGACTGGTCACCACCTATTTCTCCTCAGGACTGAAAGGTTTGTCAAATATGGAAGACTGGAACCAAGCAAGGATCCCCTTAAGAGAGCTAGGCTCTCAATTTCTTCTTCCAAGGAAGAAAATAGGATTCTCCAAACTAAAAATTAGTAAGGGCTGAACTAAAAGTAAACTGTCTTTCTAAGGAGCTTGGAATGCAATGGTTTAGATTGTAATGGCCCAAAGTAATGAGTAAGACTTCAGGACTCTGGTTATGGTATTCAAACAATACTGGTCATGGATGAGGGCCAAAAGACTTCTAAAACTCTTAAAGGAAAGATAAGGTTTAATTTCAATTCTTTTTTTTTTTTAAGATTTCATTTTATTTATTCATTCATATATTTCAATTTGACCAGAGAGACATACACAGAGAGAGAGAAGGAAAGTGAGAAAGCAAGCCACCAGGTCTGGGACTGGAACTGTGGTCAGCTATGTGGGAGTATCCAGCGCCTTAACCACCATGCCACCTGCTGGCCCCTTAACTTCAATTCTTAAGATGCTTTGCAGGATGGAAACCGCTGGCCCTGAGCACATAGAATCCAAACTGAATGATGGTCTAGAAAACTGATTGCTCCTTTCCAGAATAGAAATTTGATTATCCAAGGGCTCCCCAATCGAGGCGGCACAGGAGATGAGCATGCCTTTTTGAACTAATCATGAGCCGAGAACCCCTACCCTTAATTTTGTCCTTAAAAATGCATGTGGCCAGGACCAGCAGATGATGTAACGGTTACATTGCTGTACTCCCAAATAGTCGACTACAGTTCAAGTCCCAGACCTGGTGGCCTAAAACTCCTGTCAGGCAATGTGTGCATGCATGCATGCCCAAGATCCCAAGAGGAAAATGAAGAAGGGATTGTGATGTAGCATCTCCCCTGGGAGTGATTTCTCACTTTCTGTCTCTGTCTCTCTAACAAGTGCATGTGCCCTATAGCAAAATTCTCTTTAAAAAAATGCACATGGGGAACTCCTCAGAGAAATGGGGCCTTTTCAGTGTAAGCTGCCTGTTCTCACTTTGCTCATGGCAATAAAGTACTTTCCCCTAATCACTTTATGTCTTCAGTTTTGGTTTGTGGCACTGGGTGAGTGAACTAGATTTGAGTTTAATTACGGTATTATTGAGTCATCTATAATTTATTTTAAAGCAAATTTTTGAAGAAATATGTCTCCTGTTCACCTTAGTACCTTTCACTTTCTATGTTGACTTAACTCTGCATTCTATCTGGTTATTACCAACTTCTTAAATACGTTCTGTGTCAAGGTAAGATGGATGGATGAATATAAACATTTGATAACACAAAGAGTACTAAAATATCAACTGCAGACCCCAGATGATAGGTAAGTATACAGATTCTCACTCTAAAATTGTTTTAAATTTTCTGTATGTTTGAAAACCTGCATAACAATTGGCCAAAAAAAAAAAAAAGTTTCAATAGGCTGTTCTATACAAAAAAAACACAAATTTTTGGAATGGCCCACTCCACCTCTTTATGCAATTCTAGCCTATCTTCTCAGCATTACCCTCCCCAGACCCAACTAATTAAGTCTCAAAGGGTCTCCTGCTTCCACGCCTTTGCATATGTTTCTTTGGAATAGATAACCCTTTATACTTGCTGCTCCACTTAAATGTCACTACTATCATGAAGCTTTCTAAATTCATTCAAGACAAAAAGAAGGGCTTTTTCCTTCATGTTCTTTGTACATACTTTCATTATAAAACTTACTACTTTGCTATGATCAACTATGTACTTATTTGTCTTCACAGCCCCTTAGGGCCTTGGAGGGCAAAGATTCATTGTATATACTGGGTAGCTGGAAAAGTCATGATGTGTCTTTCTATACAAAAATGCATCATGACTTTTCCTACAATCCAATAGTTTGGTATCCCCAAAGCGCAGAAAAATGCTTATTACATTACAGGGTCATAATGTTGGCTAAACAAATTAGGTAGCAGCCATTGGTAAAATAATTAATGTGCTCCAATTTATACTTATCTTCTTAGTTATCTTCTACTCAGTCTTTTCTATTCATAACACCACTTCATTAGTTTAGGTCTTTCACCTAGATTACTCCAACAGTATCCTAACAGTTCTCCCACTGTACAGCCTTGTCTTATCATAATTAAAACATTGCTAGAGAAACCACATAGTTGACTGTGGTTCAAGTTCCAGGCTCAGTGGCTGAAAACTCGTCCTAGGCATGTGTGTGTGTGCATGCCCAAAATCCCCAGAGGAGAAGGGACTGCAGCCTGGCCATCCCCCGGGGGGGTGACTTCTCACTTTCTAAGAAGTTTCCACACCCTATAGCAAAAAAAAATCTCCCTTAAAAAAAAAAAAGTTGCTGGAATTGTGCTCCTCTAACCAGGCTACAGAGAACCAAAGTGCCTATATTATACTTTGTCTTAAGAGTCCATCTTAATAGATTAAACCTTGGGAAAATTAAAGTCTTTAATCTCTTATCTCTTACTTCATAGAACCTAGCCTTTGACCTCCCTCACAGTAGATGGAACCTAACACTTAACTTACAGAAGTTAACATAATTTTGCTAAGTCTTTACAGATGTCTGGCTATGGACACAAGGAAGGGAAAGATACCACTAACTCCCTCCCCTGTGACTGTTTAGGAAGATTTTATCAGTTCAAGAATTTACAAACTCACCCCTAGCTTCTAAACCAGGATCTAATAATTGTCATGAATGACCCCTTCCTTGACAATCATTGCTTCTCTTTAAGTGCCTTGCAGAGAATGAAAACTGGTGATCTTCTCTTGCTCTGAAGCCTGAATAGAAGGAAAATGTTCCCTCGCACACACCATGCAGGGTGGTAGCCACGAACTGAGCCTGGTGGTCTCCTTGTGATCTTGCTAAATACAAGCCTCCTCGAAACTTGCCTTTTGTGGGACCAGCAGTTAGCATAATGGCGTCACTGGATTCCCATATAGTCGATAGCAGTTCAAATCCCAGACCCAGTGGCTTAAACTCGCCGAGTGCGTGTGCGTTCGTGCCCAAGATCCCAAGAGGAGAATGGAGGAGAAGGGATTGCAACGTGGCCATCCCCCCTGGGGGGGTGATTTCTCGCTTTCTGTCTCTCTGTCTCTTTCTGGCCAGCACATGCGCCCTATAGCAAAAAAAAAAAAAACCTCTCCAAAAAAAAAACAACTTGCCTTTTGACTCTCTCCCTATATAAGTTTTGTATCTTGTCCAGTAAGGCAGAGATGGTTATAGACCCAATTCGAACCTTCCCTCAATGTTGACATTGCTGAATAAATTACTTATTCACCAGGGCACTCAGGTAGCTTGGTGGTTAAGGGCGCTAGACTGACTCCCACATGGCTGACCACAGCTTGAGTCCTGGACCTGGTGACTTGCTTTCTCACTGTTCCTCTCTCTCTCTTAGTCTCTCTCTGGTCAAATTAAAATAAATAAATGAGTAAAGATTAATAAACTAATTCTTTACAAATAAATTACTTATTCACTAATTTTTTGTCTCTGAGAGCAGCGGGTAGCTCAGACCTGATTTGGAGCTCCTTGAAGGATCACCCCTGTCTGTTCCAGTACTACTCTATGGTGTGAAGATTCAAAGAATGTACAGTCTATATACAACAATCAAATAATCAAGATAAAAGGTTTTCCTTAAAAACCTTGGAGAAGAAAAGTTATATGCTGAAAAATTATCTAGTGAGTGTTCTCAACCAACAAAACAACCTATTATTTTCCAAGAACTTTACTAGTCAGTAGTAGAACACTGTACCTGCCCTCAAAAAATTTCCATACTAATGAGAAACAGACATAAGACAAATACAATGTAATACAACATTATAATTACTTTAAAACCCTAGAGTAATATAAAGGGAGAAAACTCAGGAAAGCTGGAAAAGTCTCAAGCGAAATTGCAGTTCCGAGTTACAAAGGAACAGAAACTACGAAACGTGGTACTGAAGGATAAAACATAATGAAGCAAAAAAGGTTTGGGACCCTTTAGGACATTGAATGCCTAGCTTCAGAGTTTAAATTACTGATATATCCTCTTGTCAGTGAGGAGTTGATTAGGGTTTACGATGGTTCTTTTCCAATTACAGAGGACTGACAAGATCAGATCTGTTTAGAAGGACAGCTAACATCACTGAGAATGACTGGAGAGAAAAAGGCTCAGTAGAGAATCTTGTCATTTAGACTGTGCTTACTTTTTTCATTAATTAGGTAAAAAAAAAAAATTCTTACTATTCTGGTAAGTCAGCAGCATTATTCAACTTATTTTAGTCAACATTCATTCATCTTCTTACCTTGTCTTCATAGCCATTATCTGTGACATAAGTTGGAGGTTTTCCAGGACAGCGATAAAGAATGAAATCCCGACTACATGAGTAGAAAACAAAAGTGGGTGGGAAAAGATAATTTAGCATAGGTAAGAGTTATAGGAACAAGTATTTGTGAACTTTAATTGTGTAGCTTATTCACATAAAATAATCCAAATGTTAGACTTAATGGTTAGATTAAAAAAATCCAAAAAGGTTAAATGATGTTAATTCAACCTCTCAGGTACTATGGATTTTTTAACGTGAAATTTCAGGGGAACCAGCAGTTAGCATAATGGCTATGTCACTGGATTCCCATGTAATCGACTGTGGTTCGCGTCCCAGACCCAGTGGCTTAAAACTCACGCCAGGCGCGTGTGTGTGCGTGCCCAAGATCCTGAGAGGAGAATAGAGGAGAAGGGATTGCGGCATGACCATCCCCCCTGGGGGGTGATTTCTTGCTTTCTGTCTCTCTGTCTCTCTCTGTCTGGCGAGCGCACGCGCCCTATAGCGAAAATCTCTCTCAAAAAAAAAAAAAAGTGAAATCTCAGGGCCAGCAGGTAGTGTAATAGTTAAAGGCACAGGACTCCCACATATCCAACAGCAGTTCAAGTCCCAGACTAGGTAGCTTGAAACTCACATCGGGCGCATGTGAGTTGCATGCCCAAAAGTCAAAGAGGAGAAGGAAGGAGAAATGGATTGCAGTATGGCCATCACCCTTGGGGGGGGGGATTTCTCACTGTCTCTCTGGTGAGCACACACACCCTATAACTTATAAGCTAAGTGATGTATGTGAATGAATGTATAAAAGAAATTAAAATATTTTTTAAAATAATGTAATTAAAATGTAATTTAATTTCGGAGGAAGAGAGGTAAACAAGAAAAATTACCTATTGTATGCATGTTTGTGAGTTTTGGTGGATCTCCTTTATCTAAAGGAGTGGGCAAATTTTCTTTTGATATAAAGCCAGAAAATAAATATTCCAGCTTTTGCAGGCTATGAGGATTATTCAATTTTGCTTTTATAGTATGAAAATAGCCAAAATACATAAGTGAATGAGCATGATGACTGTAATCAAAGAAAGTTTTATTGATGAACATTGAAATTTCATTTTCATATATTCTTAATATGTCATAAAACATTTCTCTTTGGACTTTTTAATAATTTTTCTTCACGTTTTCACCATAGGGTACATGTGCTTGATGGAGAGAGAGAGGGAAAGTGATAAATCACCTCCCAGGGACAATAGCCATGTGACAATCCCTTCTCTATTCTCCTCTTGGGGTTTTGGGCCCGGGCACGTGCATGCGCATGCACACACACACATGCCTGGAGTGGAGTGTCTGGGACTTGAATTGTGGTCAGCCAGGAAAAAGTCCAGTACCTTAACCACTATGCCACCTGCTGGGCCCCCTTCTGTTGACTTTTTAACCATTTAAAAATCTTTTTTAAATCATTCTTAGCTTCAGGGCCATACAAAAGCAGGAAACAGGCCAATTTCAAAGACAACCCTTGATTTTAAAATGACAACTGCAGTCAGTAGGTGGCATAGTAGATAAAGTGCTAGATTACTAGATGGCCAACAGTGGTTGGAGTCCCTGACCTGGTGGCTTGAAAAATCACTCAAGGCATGAGTGCATGTATGTGTGCCCAAAACTGCAAGAAGAGAATAGAGGAGATGGGATTACAGTGTGGTCAGCCCCTCTAGGGGGTGATTTCTCACTTTTTCTCTCTTTCTCTTCGGCAATCACACACACCCTATGATGAAAACATACATATATACATGCATATATAAAATAACAGATTAGCCACCTGCCCAATTCCTCTTCTATAATTCTTGCTGGATTTAGTGAGAAATAAACAGACTGAAAACACTGACTTGAACAAGAGGCTTGTGATTCTACCAAGGAATACTCACCATCCTAAGAATCATGAAGGAGTCTTATAAGATCAAACTGCTCAAGGAACAAGACTTACATTGGCCTCTACCCAATATTAAGTAGCTATTTTACAAAATCATACAGCTTTCATAAGTGCTACTTTTTTTTTTTTTTTGCAGCTTTAAAGACCAAAACAGAAGCAACACAGCAGTGTTTCTCAACTACCCCCACCCATTATCATCCCTTTCAGAAGACTTTTTAGACTTTTGTTAATTTCTTCAGGAAATTTTGATGTTAGATATACTCAGTATTTATTTTGTAGTGTGATCCTTTGAAGGATCACAAGTCATTGGAATAGCTCAATTTTTTTTTTGGCCCACTGCCACCCAAAATCAATTTCTATCCTACTGAGAGATATATTGCCCCACTACAAATTCATGTGAAAAAGGCACAAAGAAACATGCACAAATTCTTCTAAAATAAATATTCAAATCTCCTACATGAATACTGGCAGTTCTTAAAGTCCTTTATTCCTCCATTTAACACACAAATGTTAGATGTAAGGAGTGTCTTTAATAAGATTCTCTCCCCAAAAACTACACCAAACTGACTTGCTTAGATGTTCTCATTCTACACATTAATTAAATCTCAAAGTTCCCCAATCTTAAAGCAACTTTAATAGAAATTACACACATATGCTCTCTCCCTCTTAAAGAAAAGGGAATACAACTTACTTATAAATTAAAGAAAGCGCTCTTATTTCCAGCTGGCCAGCACTTTCCTAAAGATAAACATCACACAGACTTTAAAAAATACATTCTGTAGCTAGAAAGCAAAAGCTTTTTTTTTTTTTCAAGTTCAACAACTTTTTTAGATGCTTTTTAGCAATGCTTTTGGTGAAGAATTTGTAGAACACACTATAACTTGTCTTGAGGCTTAGAATATTGTGGTAGTCATTAATAAACCTACCCTGAAAAAAAAAAATGGACCCAAAGCCCACCCCACCATTTTTTTTGATAAACCAAAGCCCTTTTTAGCCATTAACTAATAAAGATAGTATGAGAGATTTAAAAGACACACTAAAAAAATTTAACTAGTGTAAAAATACAAAGGTAGCTGGGTAGTTAGTAAATGTGCTTTAAATCCAAAACTATGGAATTAATTTTCTCACATAAAGCCTATTTATAAATAAAGTACAGGCTTATGAATTTTACTCCCACATAAAAGGATAACTACAAATTAGAGGTGTTGTATAATTTTTTTAAAAAGTGACCTCTTATTAAGATTGCCATCCACCTCCCTCATTAAAGTGAGAAGGCTCAGGCTTATCCTGTTTCCAAGCAATGTTATAATATTTCACTAGTCTATGGATAATGACACAATTCTCCATATTCAACACAATTGTCCATATTCAACACAATAGGGCAATTGCCAGCCTCTAAACTACTGCAAGAACTATTTGATTCAACATAGCTGGCTACTTAATATTCAGAGGCTGGCTAAAGTAACACAACAGAATGAAATTTAGGTTATTATTCCAAGTAACTCTGAAAAGATTAAACCCCCCTATTTTATCTTACCTTTGGATCTCCCAACCGTTCCAGGTATTTCTCAAAAGAGCACTCAACATACTTCAAAAATAAAACAAACTTGACTTAACCAAATACATAGCATTACTAAATCTGATTATATTCTGTCAGATTATCCTCCAATGGGATTTTTTCCCAGCTCAATAATTATGGTATTAAATGATTACTTTGCACAGCACCTCAAGATATGCACATATACAAAAGTTATGAGTAGAGAGAAGCTGGACTATAAAAGTATCTTAGAAGTTGGACCTGGCTTACTGATGCATGTCATCAAATTGTATGCCTTAGAGTTTCTTCTGAAAAGCCAACTTAAGCAAATTGACCATTTCCACAAATTGTGCAATTCCAATAATTATAAACATTTCAAATTTGACAGGAGATATGCATTTACAAAATTAAACTGAGAAACTTTTAAAGAGAATTTCATTAATTTCAAAAAAAACGCAGGGCACAAGGGAACTTCTTGGGGCGATGGAAAATCTGTATCTTGAGTATAGTAGTAACTGCATGACTGTTATCACTGCCAAAGCTAAAAATGGTAAATTTTATCGTATGTAAAATATGCCCCCCAAAAAATGAAATTAAACACAAAAATATATTTCTAGTTCCATATACTACTAGAGTTACAAAAAAACAATTGTTAGTTTCTCCTCACTTTATTTTTTTTTAAGTTTTGAGGTATAACTGATATACAACAAACTGTACAATTTAAAATTTGACTTATGTATGCATCTATGAAACCATCATCACAATCAAGATAATGAATATATTCATCACCCCCCACAAGTTTCTTTGTACTCTCAGAACCATTGATCTACTTCTGATCTACTTTCTGTCACAATAGATTGTATTGTATTTTTTTCTAGCATTCCATATAAAGGAAATAATACAATAGGAACTTTTGTTTGGGGGGGTGGCTTCTATCAGTATAGTAATTGTGAGATTCATACATGTAATCTTAAATTTTTGCACACATCTTTATTACTCAAAACGTGGTCCACAAACCAAGAGCAAGCATCACCTGGGAGTCTGTTAAAAATGGGCAGAAATTGGACCAGTCGGTGCTATGGTGGTTAAGGCACCTGAATAGCACATGGCCCACAATGTGGTTCAAGTTCCAAACATAGCAGCTTGAAAAACACTCTGGGCTCATGTGCATGCCCCCAAATCCAAAATTGAGAGAGATATGGAGAAGGAATTGCATGGCCATGACCTATTAAGGGTGCTCTCTCTCTCTCCCCCCTTCTCTCTCTGGTGAGCAAATGCATCCTCTATGAAAATTTCAAAAAAAAAACGCAAAAATTGTGGGCCCCAACTAGAACCTACTGAATCAGAATTTATAGTTTAACAAGATCCCTAGGTGATTTGTATGCACAAAAATACTTGAGATAGAATGCTTTACACCATAGTCTTGCATTTCAGGTAATGTCACTAATAAACCTTTCCCCCAGGTGTGGAGAAGATGATAATCAACTTCAAGGTAACAAGCTTTAAAGTCAAGAAGCCTTCATGTAGTTTTAAACACTAAAACCTGTTGGAAAAATTAAGGGTAAACCTCAAACAACTGGCAAATACCCATATACACAATCAGAAGACAGCAAATAGTACTAGAAGGAAAAAAAGTCTTTACACACACACACACACACACACGTGCGCGCAGGCAATTTCAAAACAGACTTGATAAAAACCTCCACTTTGTTAACAAGAATTCGAACACTTGAATGTACAAAGATACTCTTTAAAAGTTGGTTTACATTAAGACACTCTTCAGTGGCAGAGTTCAAATTATGACAATGGGTCATATGAAAAGACTAGATGTTTAATTTGTTTACTTACAATTAGGTTTCACAAGATTTCTCAAACTAGTTGAAAATAACTGCACACAGAATTAAGCAAGAGAGAAAATGGGGTTCTCATTGGCCCCTATTTTTATTCATCTATTCTTCTACAGATTATATTGTCTGGGCTGGCCTCTAACTCTTGGTTCTCTTATCTCTGCCTCCCAAATAGCTGAGACTACAGGAGAACACTACTGCACTCAGCTTGTATGTATTTTTAAATATGCATTTTAAAAGATTAACAGGGCAAACCTTTTATGAAGCATTATTTATTGTCCAAGAAAACACTGGTATGAACAATGCAAAACAGCAGTCAAAATGTAACTTTTCAGGGCTTGAGTTTGTGGGTTTTTTGTTTTGGAGGTATTTTTTGGTGTTTGTCAGGGAAGAAAGTAGTGGGTAGGCTACAAATTAGCTGTTTTTTCTTAATTTTGTACTCTAATTGGAATACAAACAAAATAATTGTGGGAGGTGCAACACGAGAATACTAGTTAGTAAGAAAGCCAGCTAGGAATTAAGTATTTGCTATTGAGAGGAGAGTGCATGATATAATTTTCATATGTAGGTGCTCAAAATTCTTCTCCCACCTGATACATACTCTACCAACAGCTCTCCCCTGGATATATGTATTCTACTTACAGACTCAAAAGTTTGTTGATTTTTCCTCATATATGAGACACAAGCTTTTCTGATTTCCAAATGATGGACCTGGCTGCAAAACAACTAAAAAGAAAAGAAAGCCCAGCCTACTGTCAGTAGGCATTTTAAGCAGAAACTCCTAAGTAAATTAAAACTATGAACTAGACACTTAAGCCTCCCTTATTCAGAACATATATAGGAAACTGGGAACTTAAGTCATTTCACAACATTTTAAAAGTTCATCTTTAGTGAGATTGGGGCAGAATGATTTTGTTTGACCCTACACCTTCCTATTCCTAATGTGCACAGTCTGTAAATTTTTTCTTACATGTAAAATTTAGAGGAAGCAGGGGATGCTTACAAAGAATCAAGACACATTTCAAAGTCTACTTTAACCAAATTATCTTATGACTCCTACATTACAAACTGGCATTTAGAAAAGAAAAAAGATAGCAAAGCTACAGCAATACACTTAAAGACTAATCAGAAAGGCACGCAGCAAAGTAGTAAGACAGCTTCTTTTCAGGACCTGGTAAGGCCTGAATATTTTCACTAGGAAACAATACATTTCTTCCAGTAGGTTACAGGTCTAAACTACAAGACCATGTCACATAAACTCTGCAAACTTGGTTAAGAAAAAATATATTTGCTTTAATTTTACCTGTTCAGAAATAGCCCGAAAGAGGCAAGAGGCATCCTTGGCAGTCAGCTTTCGAAACAGCCCTAAGGTGCCCAAATAGTCATCCATTGACATCTCATTCAGAGACTTCTGGCCGCAGTACTTTTTCCATCCTTTATGCATCGTGCATGGGGTGGGGGAGGGGAAAAAGAAAGGAATGGAAGTGTGACAAGGAAGAAGCAGGGTGCAGGCAGGAATCAGTAGCAGCGGCAATGGCTTGCAGGAATCCAGAAAGCAGCTCAAAGTCTAGGCAGGAGAAGGCAGTTGGAGTCAGCTCTGCAGAATCTTGGTATTTCCCAGGAGCAGGAGAAGCAAAGGGCTGGCTGGCGCAGGACAAGTCCAGACCCTGTGAAAAGAAGAGGAAAAGCCAATGCCCCCACGAATAGGGAACTTGGCTGGTGAAGGAGACATGGGAGGGAGAAGGTGCTTACAGAACTACCTCCTTGGGGAAGAGTGGAACTAATCCAATCAGCCCAAGGTTGAGAAAAGTATGCATAAGCAGCTGAGCTTTGGCACCAGAAGGAAACCCAGTTAGCAGCTTAACTCAGGGCAACTGCTGCAGGAGGCTTCAGAGCAGAATACAATGAGGATCAGGTGTGTAGGATGGTCCACATTACATTGCTTTAAGGTCTCTGCCAGAATTTTTAACTAGTCTGCCCAAAGCCCCAGCTCCTTTAAGTACTACGTATTTGCATGAGAATATCTTTTGGAAAAAAAAAAAGAATAGGGGTGGAACCTCCTTTGATCTATCAGGACAGAAATCATTGTTAAAGTGCCAAAGCAAGTATCTGCGTATTTCAGGTAAGAAGTTGAAGTAATCTTCTCATTTAATTCTAGAAAATAACAACTCTCCTCTTGGATTACAACAACTATCAGCTATCCTAGAAAACCCTCATACATAATTCTTAACAAATGTCTCCAAAGCACTATGTACATACCACTATGTACATACCCCTAATAAAAAGGGAAAATGCAAAGTGTTATAACAATGAAAATTTAAACTGAAATGCACGTAAAAGTTAAAAAAAATTTCCCATAACTTTTTAATAGGCTACATTTAAAATAGGATAGGTGGCATGGTGGTTGGGATGCTGGACTCCCACATGGCTAACTGCCATTAGGGTCCCAGACCTGGTGGCTTGCTTGCTCACTTTCCTTTTCTCTCTCTGGTGAGAGACCATGCCCTAGAGCAAATATAAATGAAAAATAATGATCAATAAAACTAAATAAATATTGTTTAAAATGCTATAGGATAGTATAAGAGGCATCAAACATGAAAAACATGTTTCAATATATTATGAAGATACGTTTTCAGGAAAACTGCTATGGAGTCTGACAAAGTGAAAGTAAATTACTAAGAATCAAAGACAGGGCAAGTCGCATATATTAATATTACCTGATTCCACTTCAAGTGTTTTATTTTTACTAAAATACCAAAACTCAGTTTGTTTCTTTTTTTTTTTTTTTTTTTAAGGTTTTGGCCATAGGGCGAGTGTGCTCACCAGAATGACAGAGAAAGGCAATGAAAGGAAAAGTGAGAAATCACTTCCCAGAGGGGACGGCCATATGGCAATCCAGGCACCTCCATTTCCTCCTGGGATTTTGGACACATGTGACCAGTGTGGTTTTCAAACCACCAGGTCCAGGGCTCAAATGGCACCTGCCATGTGGGAGTCCAACACCTTACCTACCACACCACCTGCTGGCTCACCTTTCTTACTTTTTTTTTATGTTAACAAAATAATTTAGAGGCAGCTCGTGGCATGGCGGATAGGATGGCTGGATTCTACACAGCTGACCACAATTCAAGTCTCAGTATCTGCTTGCTTGCTTGCTCACTCTCTCTCTGTCTCTCTCTGATGAGTACACATGCCCTGCAACAAATTAAAAAATAGTAATAAATAAAATTAAACAGTTTTTCAAAAAATACAAATTGCTTACATTTATTGTTTTTGAAACTGGATATAAGGTATATAAAACTTCAATTATACAGTCTATATACTTCATTTTAAGGAAGTGAAAACGAGAAAGAGAGAAACAGAAAACAGACAACTGGAAGCAAAAACAAGAAAAATCAAGGGCAGGAGGACAATGATATGGGAAAAGGGAAGTAACACACAGGAAAGGCACACAGAAGCAGACCCCCACAAATAGGATCAACTGATTTTTGACAAAAGTACAAGAAGAATTAACAAGGTGTTTAAGATTTTCTTCTAAAAGTTCTTAAGTTTTATATTACAGCTGTGATCCATTTTGAATTAATCTCAAAAAGGGTAAAGTAAAGGTTGATGCAGGTATACGAATGGTCAGTTGTTCCGGGTTTGGATCCTGCACCAATCTCAACAGATTCAACACAGTAGTGCATGCCTATAATCTTAGTTAACCAACTGATAGGGGCAGAGGATAACAAAGGCAAAACCCTGTCAAAATACACCTTTCATGAAAGCACAAATAAACCTGGAAGATATCACACCAAGCGAAATAAACCAAGCATAGAAAGACAAATACTGCATGATTTATGTACAGAATCTAAAAATGTTGAACTCATAGATTTTAAAAGGTTGGCAGAGGCTGGAGGTGGGGGTGGGAAGGAAGGGCACAGGCAGTCACTGATCAAAGAATACAAAGTTGCAGATAGACAGTAGGTGTAAGTTTTGAGATCTGCACAGCAAAAAAACTATAGTCAATAATAATATATTTCAAGATAACTGAGAGTAAATGTCAAATATCCCACCATAAAAAATTATACATAAGGCTCCGGATTTATGTCCTGGGTCTTACCTAAGCACACACTGGGCATGCTGATGGTTATACCCATGATCCTAGCCTGCTGCAGTGCTGAGGGTAAGATTGTGGCATGAAGATCCTATTGAGGATCTCTGTCTCTCTCTCCCTTCTTCTCTCAAAGAAAATAGGTGAGAGACAGATGGCATAATGGTTACAACGCCAGACTCTCACATGGCTGACTGCTGTTATGAGTCCCAGACCCAGCGGCTTCAACCTCCTGTCAGGCGCATGTGCATGCCTGCCCAAAATCCAGAGAGGAGAATGAAGGAGAAAGGATTGTGGTGTGGCCATCCCCCCTTAAGGGGTGATTTCTCACTTTCTGTCTGTCTCTCTCTGTCTTTCTGATGAGCACATGTGTCCTATAGGAAAAAAATCTCTAAAAAACAAAAGAGGTAAATTAAACTACAAAAAAGTATTATGTTAATTATCTTTAATCATTACATCTTATATGCCTGTATCAAAACATCACATTATACCCTATAATATATGAATCATTATTTGTAAATTAAAATTAATAATCTAAAAAAATTT